GGCCTGGCTGAGGTTGAGGGGGCAGCTGGGGGATGGGGGAGGCCTGGCCCAGTGAGGTTAGGCCCAGTAGGACTTGGTGGGTCAGACCTGGGGTCCAGGACCCAGCAAGGTGAGGTTCTGTTTGCTGGTGCTCCCTCTAACCTGCTTCCATCCCCTCCTAAGGTGTTCTTCGACCTGCGGATTGGCGAGGAGGATGTGGGGCGTGTCGTCATCGGGCTCTTTGGCAAGACGGTGCCCAAGACGGTGGAGAACTTTGTGGCGTTGGCCACTGGAGAGGTGAGGGGCCAGAGGCTGGCCCGGTAGGTGCCTTTTACCCAACCCCTTGGGAGGCTCTGGGATGGGGGGAGCCCTGGTCCATCACTTTGCCTCACTCCGTTTTCTCCCTCCCCACCCCCAGAAAGGATTTGGTTTCAAGGGCAGCAAGTTCCACCGTGTGATCAAGGACTTCATGATCCAGGGAGGAGACTTCACCCGTGGAGATGGCACTGGAGGTAATTTGGCCTGTGCCAGCCTGAGGATCCAGGTGCTGTCTTGAAATGAGACAGCAGCCACACTCCCAGCTACCCCCAGGGACCGATGTGGAGCTGGAGGTGGTGTCACAGTGGGGACGCAGCTCGCAGGGACCTGTCCTCAAAGCAGAGCTCAGTGCTGGGGAGGGACAGGCACAGCAAGGCTTGGCTGGCTGACGCCCGGGTGTCACCTGCGTCACTGTGCCCTCTGCCCCGGCAGGACCTGGAGCTGCTCACTGAGAAAATTAAACTTCTACCAGTATAGCCAGTGCCTCTGCCAGGCATCCTGGCTGCCAGGACACTTGTAGTCCAGCGGCAGCAGAGTTCAAACCTTCCCCCAGCACTTAGCAAACATCAGCATCAGCATTTGGGCTTGTAAGCTCCTACCTGCCCTGCTCCTCATCACGCTGCAGCCGTGTGGGGTCAGGTCTGCCCTCGCACAGCCTCCTGCTGCAGTCCCTTGGGGCCACGATCCTTCCTGCCCAGCTCCTGGGGTGCTTTTAGCTCCCTTCCATATCAGGTAGCTCATGGTTCCCTGGGGTGTTGGTTCCTTCCACCCTCTAGACCCCACCCTGCCTGTGGAGTGAGCCACCGTCATCACCCCTACCCCAACATATTTCCATGAAATCATTGCAGCCTTTTTTTTCCTCCCCTCCCTTAGGTAAAAGTATCTATGGGGATCGCTTCCCCGATGAGAACTTCAAGCTGAAGCATTATGGCCCTGGCTGGGTGAGCATGGCCAACGCTGGCAAGGACACCAATGGCTCCCAGTTCTTCATCACCACGGTGAAGACGCCGTGGCTGGACGGCAAGCACGTGGTGTTCGGCAAAGTGCTGGAGGGCATGGTAAGGAAAGGAGGTGGTGGGTGCTAAGGGGCTGAGGGGAGGCGCCTTCTGGGTTGGGGATTGCTTGGAGCCTGGCATTGCCCTGCTCTCACGCCTCTGCTTGCCTCAGGACGTGGTGAGGAAGGTGGAGAACACCAAGACGGACAGCCGGGACAAGCCCCTGAAGGATGTCGCCATTGCCGACTGTGGGACCATTGAGGTGGAGAAGCCGTTTGCCATTGCCAAAGAGTAACGGACCCTCCCAGCTCCGTCACACAGTGCGGGGCCCCGCGCGCGGCAGGGACGCAGCCCCCAAGGGTTGTAGGCCCGGGGCTCCCTGCTCCCCCCTGTGCGTTTCCCTGTCCCAGGGCGGGCAAGCAGCAGCAGAGCCGCTGTGCCCCTGCTGCCCTGCCTTCACCTGGCCAGCGGGCAGGATGGGGTGCTGGCTCCCCTCCCCATCACTTTTGTAAGAAGCACACGCACCAATAAATGTGACCAATATGGGTTTTTTAAAGAGGGGTGCAGATCATTAACCAGGTGTATCCCTCAGCCCTCCAGCCCCCTTGCTTCCCCACTTCACCCTCAACGCTGCCTTTGGCCCTGGATTTGTTTTCTAGAAAGACATAGCACAGCGGGTTTTTTGCCAGTTAAGCCCAAAAGTGATTTTATTGCACCAAAGCCCAGACACCCAAGAGGTTTTCCACCACGGTTCAGGGTCCAAAAGCACCCACTGCAACCCCGACCCATCCAGGCGGCTGGCAGAGCTCCTGCTCCCTGAACAGAGGTGCAGTGGGTGGCAGCGGGCCTGGAGAGCAGCTGTAACTTCCTTGGCTTTCCCCCACTCCATTTTCCTGCACCAGTGCAGCACTGGGTGCTCAGGAGCTGGACAGGCTGGGGGCTCGGGGTGCTGCTGGGCAGGCGGTGCAGCTCTGGGGGAGGTAGAGGCCCTGCAGCACCCCACTGAGGATGGTGTTGGGGAGCAGATCTGCAAGGAAAAGGGGGAACTGAAGCAGCTTTTTTTCTCTCCCAGGCCCCATTAAAGGAAAAAAAACCAATCCCAACACATTTTGGGGCCCCAGAAGTGCCTTTTCCTGTGGAAGCAGGACTGTGGACACCCATGGTCCTGCTCCTTACCGGTGCCCAGTGGCCGTGCGTAGGGGTCGATGCAGAAGCCAACGACGGGGCGCTGGGAGGGCAGGCGGCTGGCACTGCTGCGGGAGAGGGGGCATCAGCACCCAGCTAAGGGTCTCACACCCCTGTTGCATGCCAGCCCTCTGCCTGTCCCTGTTGTCCCCAAGATGTCTTGGAGTGCTTCACAGGGGTGAGGGGGATGATCCTAGGATAAACCAGGCACAGACGGAGCCCGATGGCACCGTCTGCCTCTTGCCTACTCACGAGGTGCTGCTGGCCCTGGGGTCCTGCGGGCAGCGCCGCACCTTCAGGAAGTCCAGCACGTCCTGGGGCAGCTCCTCGTTGTGGTGCAGGACTCCCTGCCGTGCACCCGGGAGAGGGAGGTCAACACCC